AATCTTTCTCGGGAGTTGTATTAACAATTTTACTCTGGAGAAGGTTCCTTTGGCGTTTCATGTTTGTATATGGTGCCCTCTAGTGTCCAGAAGCTCTATTCTGGAGCTTCTGAGTCCCTGAAGCAATGTTGGGGGTCGCAGGGGAGCGGTACTGGTGCCTGGGGGTAGGAAAGAGCTGTTCTCCACCTCCTGGATGCTGTGCCTGTCTCCACTGCCTGAACCAGTGGGTGGAGCACAGAGGTATAAGTTTTTGTCCCAGAGCAGTCGGATATGGATCCCTGCTTTGCACAAGCAGCCAGAAGCCCAGTCTCCCCAGGAACTCTGCCTGTATTAACTTTCCAACCCAGTAGTCATGCGAGTCTCATGAAAGCACCATGCAATGTGGGATCTCCAGAGCAGATCTCTGGAGCTAGGTATTCAGCAGTCCCAAGCCTTCCACTCCCTCCCTGCTCCATTTGTCTTCCTGCTGCCGGTGAGCTGGGGTGGGGGAGGGGCTCGGGTCCTGTGGAGCCACAGCTCTGGTACTACCCCACTCGCTGAGGTCTGCTCTTTTCTCCAGGTGTGTGTAGTCTGACGCAGTCCTCTTTCCTGTTGCTCTCTCAGGATTAGTTGCACCAATTAAATTTTCTAATTGTATCCAGTTTTAGGAGGAAGTCTCTGTCTCTCCTCTCATGCAGCCATCTTTAATCCCATCTCTATGGACAGAGTTTTAAAGGCAGCTAGAGAGAGGAAAAAGGTCATCTCCCATTTACTCCATGAATCTGGAGTGTGTGTCTTGTACCTCGGCACATTTGCTCCCAAGGCATAAATGTTATTGGCCTGGAATCTTCTTTTCTGCTCTTGAGACACCATGACCTTTGTCTTTGTCTTCCCTAGAAGGCTTCCCAGTTCTGTCCGGTCTTATTTTTAAGGCTGTTTTAGGAAACTATTTAGAATCTACAGTATGCTAGGTGTTGGGGTAGCTGCTTTCCCATCCATTGTTCCATTCAATCCTCACTATACATGTCAACTAATATTTGTATCATACCTCATGGTATTCTAATTACAAAGAAACCCATGGGTCAAATGGTGAATGATGAATATCAAACCTGCTCATCTTAGACCCTAGTGTTAAAGGAGGGGCACACAGTGGACTTACCTGAATCTCTATTTTCTCCTTAAGCTGGGCAGTGCATAACCAGGTATTTGTTGTATTTGTCTCTCTACCTTTTACTTGCCAATATATTTTATTAGAGCTATTTCCAAAAGCAATGCATGTTCATTTTAGCAACTTTAAAAGTGCAAATAGCAAAAATCCTTTCCACCTCCCACCTTCTGTAAGTACTCACTGTTGGCTTTATGGTGGGGATCCTTTTGGACTGCAATATACATTTTCAAAACAAAATCAAGATGGCATTATATGTATCTGTAACTAGAAGTGAACTGTCCACACACACTCTATATTTCATAGGCTCTCTTGCATTTCACGGTTGAGTAGATGGTACTTATTTAGCATTTCATGGTTGAGTAGATGGTACTTATTTAGCCAGTTGCTTCTTAATGCTTAGTCACATTGCTTCCCCCACCCCATTATAAATATGTTGTAATGATCACCTTTCTATATTTCCATGTGTGCACTTCAGCATTTCTGTCTGATGTCACAGAAGTGGGATACTGCTGAATTTAAGAATTAAAGTGTATCACAGAAATATCCTCCTAAAAACTAGCTCTCTTGTCAGTGCTGTGAGTGAACACCTGCCCTCCTATGAATCGCCAGCTCTGGAGCCTCTAAATCTGTAACAGTTTGAGGCAAAGCCAAGTCTATATTCTTACTATGCCCACCTTTGGTGCTGAGTCTCTTCCCTGCGTCTGTATTTGTTGTCCACATTTCATCTTCCATGTATTGCCCATTCCTGTCCTTTGTGCATTTATATATATTTTTTCCTCACTAATTTATCCAGAAAGTCTTTTGGGTGCTACTTCCTAACAACGTATGTACAGTGCTTTATAATTTCCAAAGCACTTTTCGTAGGTGTGATGTCCCGTAACCTAGTTCTGAGTTGTTTTCTGTGGCCCCAGGATAGCCTGAAGAGGTTCCGACCTGCCCCCTGCCTTCCTGCCAGTGAGAGGTGAAGTCTGGACTCCCACCAGATTTCCAGACTCTAAACCTTATGTTCTTTTGGCTACACTACAGTTTACAATGCCCCTTCCAAATCCAGGACTATTGGGGGAGGATTCTGTTTTCTGACATCTGTTTCAAGAAAGCACAGCTCACGAATGGCCGTGTTTGAAGGCTTCCAGTTTTTGCCAGAGCTTTTCCGGCTGCGGTGAGGCCCACATAGCTTTAGCAGCGCAAAGGCGGCCAGCCGGGGCCTGACCTTGGGTGGGCCTGGCAGTGGGGCTGCCTGGTGAGCGGTGCTCACGCTCCCGTGTACCCGCAGAGTTCGTGAAGCGGCTCCGGTACTGCGAGTACCTGGGGAAGTATTTCTGTGACTGCTGCCACTCCTACAGCGAGTCCTGTGTCCCTGCGCGGATCCTGAAGAACTGGGACTTCAGGAAGTACTACGTCAGCAATTTCTCCAAGCGGCTGCTGGATGGCATATGGCACCAGCCCATTGTCAATTTGCAGAGCATCAGCCACAGCGTGTATGCCAAGGCCAAGGAGCTGGACCGAGTGAAGGTGAGCAGCCGCCTATGGGGACAGCCAGGCTGGGGTTGAAACGGGCTCATGAGCATCCCCGGGGCTGGTTTACCATCAAGTGGGTGGAGCTCCGGCTTCAGAGCCCGTTGCCCACACAGGCTCTTTCCAAAGCCCCCTGCCAAATTTTTTTTTATCTACACATAGTTTTGCATTTATACATAGCCTTTACAATGTATTTACTGTTATTTTTAAAAATAAAATAGTATATGCTTAAGGTGTACAACATGATGCTTGGATATATACATACATAGAGAAATGATTACTGGTCAGGTTAATTAACATATCCATCTCACACAGTCACTTTGTGTGTGTGTGTGTGTGGTGAGAGCAAATGAACTCTACTCTCTTAGCAAATTTCCAGTATTCTGTACAGTATTAACTATATAGTCATGCTCTATATTGCGTCTCTAGACTTATTCATAGTCCATAACTGCAAACTTGTACCCTTAGACCAACAGTTCCCCATTTCTGCCACCTCCCTGCCCCTGGTAACCATGTTCAGCTCTCTTCTTCTATGTTATCTTTTAGATTCCACACATGAGACCATGCAGTTTTTTCTTTCTATGTCTGGCTCCTTTCCCTTAGCATAATGTCCTCTGAGTTCATCGTGTTGTCACAAATGTCAGGCCCTCCCTCTTTTATACAGTTTTGTGTTCATCTGAAGGAAGGCCCCCCACAGTGGTGTCAGTGTCAGTCTCCCCAAAACCTGGGACCATCCTGGACCCTCTGTGGATCTCAGGACTCAGTCATGAACCCCTGCTATAAAGACTGTTTACTTCCAAGGCTTGTTTATAGATGTAGCATTTCAAGGTAAGAAATAACATTTCAATTTGACTTCCACGTTTAACTATCCCCACTGTTTGGTTTCTCACATTAGGAAATCCAGGAGCAGCTTTTTCACATCAAGAAGTTGTTGAAGACCTGCAGGTTTGCTGAAAGGTACTGTTGTTGGCTGGGACAGTGGGTTGAGAGAACCGGCCCTGCCCATGCCTGCCAGTCCTCTGTGTGCCTCTGGTCCCAGCTCCTCCAGGGTACAGGGCCTCTAACCTCACATCTCTCCTTGGGAATGTAGACCCTCTCTTTAACGCTGCTAACCCCTGTGGCTCACTAGCACTGAGTTTCATGTGGTAAGAAGAATTGGCCAGTACAAGGATGATTTAAGTCTAACCAGTGGCCTTTATTATGATGATGATTATCATTATTAATTTATATTGTGATAAAGTACACATTTACCATTTTAACCACTTTAAGTGTATAATGCAGTGGCATTAAGTACATTCACATTATTGTACAACCCTCACCACATCCATCCACAGAACTTCTTTATCTTGCAAAACTGAAACTCTATATCCATTAAGCAGTATCTCCCCATTCCTCTCTCCTCCCAGCGCCTGGCAACTACTCTTCTACTTTCTGTCTCTATGATTTTGACTACTCCAGGTGCTTATGTAAGTGGAATCATACAGCATTTTTTTTGACTGGCTTCTTTCACTTGGAATAATGTCCTTGAGATACATGCATGTTGTAGCATGCATTTCAATCTCCTTCCTTTTTAAGGCTGAATGATAGTCCCTTATATGTTTATACCACATTTTGTTCATATGCTCATCCATCTTGAGTTGCTTTCACCTTTTAGCTATTGTGAATAGTGCTGCTACAAGCATGGGTGTACCAGTGGCCTTAAAAAAAACCCTGATAGAGAGGCATGTAGAACTTTCATTGGCTGTATACTATTTTATACTATGATGTAATGTTAATTTAAGTATTGTCCTATTTCTGATATATTTTTTATCTAATATATTTTTAATGTCTGAATGTAAAAACTAGATTTTAGTATAACTGTTAAATCTAATAGGTTTTTAATATCTAATGGATATTTAGATAGATTTTTAAATATTTTTTGTTACTTAAAAAAACACTTAATAGATCTTTTGTTATTTAAAAAAAGGCTTTAGCTGAATCTCTGCCCACATCCATAGGTATGTCCTTAGGATAAACTTCTCATAGTGGAAATTCTGGAAGCCGTGGCCATAAAAGTACAGGCATGAGTTCATAGACAGAGATAGAGATTTTTTAGTGGAAAAAGAGTAAGTTTAGATTTAATATATATATATATATATAGGATCATAGGAATCATAGGTTTTAGAAATTTGTCTTGTTTTCTTTTAAAACGTCTTTCAGTTTCTGATCTTTATTTAATGATGATGTATATTTTTTAATTGAATTTCTTGGGGAAAAACATGTCTTCTCTAGTCATTTGGCCTTAACTGTACCTGTGGCATTGGCGTGACAGGTTAATTACTTCTCAGACCCTCAGTTTTCTCTCCTGGAACCTGTAATAATACCTACAATTCTTACCAACTACAAAAATTTATTGAATATACATTCTGTGCTTCAGATAAAAAATCAATAGGCCTCATGTTAGTCCAGGGAGAAAGCAGCCACAGATCACTGAGGAACTCTGTGTTAGATGCGTGGGCACAGCGCCCTGCAGGTGAAGAGGAGGCAGCATTGCAATCATAAGGGAGGGGGCAGGGAAGAGAGCGGCATGGCTTCCTGGAGCTGAAGAGCAAGGCAGAGGGAACAAGAGGGAGTCAGGGATCCTCTGGCAGAAGAAGCAGTGTGAGTGAGCACCCCAGGCCGACAGAGAATTATACATGGTTTGGCATCATTAGACTGTTGAGTCCAGTGTAAACAGCGGCTGGCTTGGGAATGCAGCGAAGGGAGATGGCACTGACTGACTGAGGGACGTCGGAGGAGATCAGGAGGGTTTAGAGAAGACTACTCTTAGTTTTGAATGTTGGTAGGCTCTCTGAGTGCCTGTTGCCAGCTCACAGTCGAATGCCTAGGCTTAAGCCCCGTGCTGGATTCATGGGCTTTGGAGTCACACCCCTGCTGGCGAGCAGTAATTCTCCTGCTGGCTAAGACTATAGTCAGTGATGCTGATGGACTTGAAATTTAGGTACAATGTGAAGAAGGTAGTAAATCTTATCTCATTACACATTTTAAGACGTGAAACACAAATTTTCAAGTTCTCTTTTGCTCAATGTGTGCCTGGACAGGCTGCAAGAGACACGTTTCTCAGTTTGTTGAGCTTTTTGAAATCAGCCTTTATGGAATTTTAACTTCCTGGTTTCCAAAATGTAAAAGTTTTTGTAAGCCATTTCCAAACTTGCAAAATGTAAAGTGATGAGTAAGGTTAACTTGTTCCTGGAGTACTTTTTCTTTTTTATATGGAGTTCAAAAAATTAAATGTGAGTGCAAGGAGAAAACACCCCCCACCCCACCCCCACACACACTCCTGCCCCAATCTCTGTGTGGGTGGGTTTTGAATTCGTCTTTGTTTTCTCTCTGGCAGTGCAGTAAAGGAGTTTGAGCAGGTGCCAGGACACTTGACTGATGAGCTCCATCTGTTCTCCCTGGAGGACCTGGTCAGGGTCAGGAAAAGGCTGCTGATGCCCTCACTCAAAGATATTCTGAAAACTTCCCTCGCGCACATTGCCAGCTGTGAGGTGAGTGTTCGCCCACGAATGGTTGTCCCTGGACTGTCCCTGTGTGTCAGGACCAGGGCTGGGTGTGCTGCCCTGTACTTCATTTAACTCTCACAAACCCTGAGGAAAGAGCTGGCAGCACTATTTCCAGATGAGAAAAACGAGGTACAGAGCTGTTAAATAACAGGTCAAGATAATCCTGCAGGTCAGTTGCAGGGCTGGGGTGTAAGACTGGGCCGTGCAACTTCTCAGTCTGGCTGCCAAGCCCTATTTGGAGCCTTCCTTGGCCCCCATTTTCCCTGAAGTGCCAAATACAACCATGTGGACCCAGGATCCAGTGGAACAGGAGCTCTGTGTCTCCAGGAACTGGAGGACTGTAGGGCAGTGATCAGAAGCAAAACTAGATCAGTTAAAAGCACATGTTCAGATCATGATCTTCCTCTGGTGCCTCACACTGTGTGGATGTGAAGTTTGTCCTTGAAAAATGAATGCACATTTATTGCTCTAATCCATCCTTTAAGGCAGGATATCACATCCTGTTTCTTCTAGACGTTGGAATGATATACTTTGACAAATTGATGTTTATAAAGTTCTACAAAGTGGTAACTCAACTTCTCCATCAAAAGAAATGTTACCAATGAAGATTTCAACTTTTTTATTCCTTTTATAGCTATGTCAGGGAAAGGGCTTCATTTGTGAATTTTGCCGAAGTGCGGCTGTCATCTTCCCATTTCAGACCACAATGTGCAGAAGATGTTCAGGTATTTCATGACTTCATAACATAAGTTTAAAATAGCTTAATAATTTAAGTGCACAGTTAAGTTTAATAATATAAACACAACATTAATTCAAGCTTATTAATGGCTTAATAATTTAAGCACAATGTTATTTGCTTAAAGTATAAAGATGCTGGTGTGTGTTTGTATGTTGGACTGGAGCTCATAAAGGTTTGGGTGCACAATGAGGAGTATTTGGGAGAGGATAAGGGGTGAGATCTCCTGGATAGGGTTTGTGAATGGAGCTGGTCCCTCTTTGCCTCTGCCTCAATTTGTCTACACCAGGACAAACTGCAACTGCCCTAGTTTTGCAATTGGATCACAGTCAGGCCCAAGCTGAAGTGTTGTCTCTGGCTTCTTTTGCACAGCAGTGGCAGAGTTGAGTAGTCCTTATGGAGACTAGATAGTCCCAAAGCCCTAAAACATTTACTCTCTGGCTCTTCAAAGAAAAGGTTTGCAGGCCCTTGTGGTACCGTATTAGTACCCAAGAAAATCCCGAGCTCTCAAAGTTGTTTAATGAAAAAGAGATGGTAATGAATTCTGCCTTCACCCTTGAGAGAAGCCTGCCGTCCTCTTAGGCCACGCCAGTGTAGTCTCCCCTAGTCCGTGAGGCACTGTCGCAGGATGTTTCCCCAGCAGAGAAACTCTGTGAACACTTGGGAGGTTGGGAGCAGCAGGCCTGGGCTGAGAGAGAAGATGAAATGGCTGGTGGTGGTGGTGAAGGCTTATCACATCTCCCAGGGCACCTTTAGCATTGTCCCAAACTGAGGACAAGAGGGCAGCTGACCCTTTAAACCCTACATTGACCAGTCACCAGATGCAGGCTGTTGCCAGCAAGGAGACATGAGCAAGGCAGCTCTTTCCAGTTTGAGCCATTTCCAGAGAAGCAACACCTCCCGTGCTGTCAGCCACCAACACCCTCAGTTGCTGAGGGGATGGTCCTTGGCAGGTCAGGTCGGGGGCACTGCAGCATCCACTACCTCAGGCTCTCTGAGCCTCACTTTCATGACCTGCTGGAGCCTTAATAATCCCTGAGTTTCGACCTGTCTGATGATTTTCCTTTCAGAAGACCTCAGACCTCCTCTCTCCCCCGGGTGGGAATTAGTGTCTATATGTACATGAGAAAGTGAGATAGCCTCGTTGCTGACTGCTGCCCTCTCCTCACAGTGTGCAGAGCTTGCTTTCACAAGCAGTGTTACCAGTCTGCCCAGTGTCCCCGGTGTGCGAGGATCACAGCCAGAAGACTTTTGGAAAGTTCTCCCTCTGCAGAGACATGATGCCCCTGGGTCTTGTGAAAAAGACTATTCGAAATGACTGTAACACCTTTTTGTGTCTATTATTGACATCATTGTTTTAGATATTGAGTACTGTCTATTAAGGAAAACATGGCCAGTATTCTCTATTATATATATTTAATGTTTTCAAAGAATGCAGGTTCTTTGTTATTAAGCGTAAGTTGTTACTGGTGGTTTTGTTTACAAATGTTCAAGATTTTGCTGCTACTTTTTCTTAAAGAGTCTTTTGATACTTCTTAAATTGTATTTGAATATTTATATTTAGCTGATGTTGGAGCCTGTTTTTTATGAATTGTAACTGACAAGGTGGATTAGTTCCTCTTCCTATAAAGCTTGTTTTGTGAAACAGATTGGTACTGTCAATGGACAAAAATGCAACCAAAAATCTGTTTTCTCAGGCTTTTATCTGACTTAAACACCACTTTGTAATTATATCAGTCCTTTAGGTTCTACTTATTACAGGATTTGTATAGAGAGTACACTCTGTGGTTCCATCTAGTTGGAATTGCTTAGATGTGAGTGGAGGTGCTGTTTGAAGCCATTGCCTCTAGGTGGCGCTCTTTCAGTTGGCACAAATCAAACCCGTATTTGTCATCTCTATTCTAAAATATCAAGAGATGGATGGGTGAATAGAATTTCCTCCTGGCCCATTATGATTTTGTCTCATAGATTTAAGACTGAGCATAAGGTACTTGCAGACTTAACTTGCGGGAAAATACTGTTAATGAACGATGTGATTCTAGTAGTAACATTAAAGTCATAGACACCAATTAATAAGGTCAGGTGAATCACTAAACCATTATAAATTCTTTTTCCTAATATTTCTTTTACTTATATGCTTTCCTGAAATGTGGGCCAATTTTTCTCCTAATATATATACACTTTCTCCTACTTGAGAAAGAGCCCTAGGGCTGGGTTCTTTCCTGGCACATCTTTAGTTGGAGTGTGGATGTCAGATCCCTGGGACTCACATGCCCTAAGTAAAACTACTCTGAATGAACTTCTTAAACAGCACAAGTGGGCAATAAAGTGACAGAGGCCTTTCCATGACCCATCCAGGCCCGTGTGTGTGTGTGTGTGTTTTATTCAGCATGACAACACTGAGCACGTGAAAGAAATGAGTGTCTCAGTCTGGTGACTTCTCATGCTGTCACTTGTTTTCCCATCCCAGATGCCTCTGCCTGAACTGTCCTCCATTCATTATTTAAGCCAGCTCTCTCTTAAATAGAAATTTAGGCACATGAGATAGGATAAATAAGAACAAATTTAAAACAATGTTTTATTCTTACCTGTAGCTTATATTCCTTGTTAAGAATCAACAGTCAAAGTGGTATGCTGCTATTTCTTATAACAGCTCTCTGAGGTTCATTTTACAGGTAAGGAAACAGGCTTAGAGAAGAGAACTAACTTACCTAGTTTTCCATGGGTAGCGCATGGTAGACCTGGGTTAGCATTCAAGGCCACCTGCCTCCAAAGCCGTGTTCCCAGCCACTACTTCTTCTGTGGTATCTTTTTTGAGATAAAACAAACAAAACTTACTTTATATATATATATATATATATACATATATA